CTGAGATTATGCAGTCTGAGGATATAGAATGAAGAAAAAGGAAGAGATCTTCAGAGACTTGTGGGACACCATCACACACACCAGCATATACATAATGGGAACTCCAGAAGGAGAAGAAAAAGAGAAAGCAGCAGAAAGTCTATTTGAACTAATAATGGCTGAAAATGTCCAGATTTGATGGGAAACATTAATTGGCACATTCAAGAAGTTAAACAAACTCCAAATGGGACAAATTCAAAGAGACCCAGAACTAGACACCTCATAATTAAACTCTCTAAAGAGAAAGACAAGGAATCTCAAAAGCAGAAGGGGAAAAGTGGCTCATCACATACAAGGGATTCTCAATAATATTAACAGCAAATTTTTACATCAACATCTAGGGAGACTAGAAGCCAGTGAGAAGACATATTCAAAGAACTGCAAATAAAATTATCAACCAAGAATTTTCTATCCGGAAAAGCTGTCCTTCAAAAATAAAGGAGAAATTAAGATAATCCAGGAAAACAACTGAAAATATTTTTCAATTTGTTTAGAAAACAAACCTAAGCAGTTTGTTTTGAAAACAAACCTGCCCTACAAAAGTACTAGAGGAAGGTCTTCCAGCTAAAAAAAAAAAAAGACACTAGGCAGTAACTTGAATCTACACGAAGAAATAAAGTGCACCAGTAAAACTACATAGATAAATGTGAAAGTCGATGTAAATGTATTTTTTCCTTATAACTTTTTGTATTCTCCTATCTGATTTAAAAGACAACAGCTTAAAGCAATGATCATAAGTCTGTGTTGATGGCTCAATACGTGTGAAGATGAAATTTGTAATAACAACATAAAGGGAGACAAAAATATGTGAACAAAGTTTTTGTACACTATTGAAATTAAATTGGTATTAATTCAAACTAGATTATTATAAATTAAGATTTTAATTATAATCCCCAAGCAACCACTAAGAAACTAACCCCCAAATCTATACAAACAAACAAAAAACAAGGGAATTAAAATGGTACAGCAGTAAACAGTAGTGGAGGAATTGAGAAATAAAAAAAGACAAGATGTAGTGTATAAGAAATAATAAAAAGACAGACATAAATCCTATCTTATTAATAATTATTTTAAATGTAAGTTAAATAAACTCTCAAGTTAAAAGGCAGAGAATGGCTGAATGGCCAACAAACACATGACCTAATTATATGCTCTCTGTAAACAACACGCTTCAGTTTCAAAAATGCAAATAGTTTGAGAGCAAAAATATGGAAAAAACAATACCATAAAAAGAATAGCCAGAAGAGACTTGGAGTGGCTATACTAATACCAGACAAAATAGGGTCTAAAATGAAAAATGATAATAGAGACAAAAAAAGGATACTTTAAAATAGTAAAAGAGTACTTCATCAAGCAATATAGCAATTATAAACATACATAAACCTAACAACAGAATTCAAAATATTTACATGAAGCAAAAACTGACAGAACTGAAAGAAGAAATAGACAATTCAATAATAATAGTTGGAAACTTTAATACTGCAATTTTAATAATAAGTAGACAAACTAAACAGAAAATTAGCAAGGAAATAGAAGGCTTGAAGAACTCTGTAAACTAATTTGACCTAACAGATACCTATAGAATACTCCACTCAACAACAGCAGAATACACATTCTTTTCAAGAGCACATGGAACATTCTGCAATATAGACCATATATAAATCAATAAATCAAGTCTAAGTAAAAGTAAAACTATAGAAATCATACAAATATATTTTCTGGTCACAATCGAAAGGAAGTAGAAAGCAATAAGAAATAAATTGGAAAATTTCACAAATATGTGAAAATTAGACATCATACTCTCTTAACCAATGGATCAGAGAAGAAATCACAAGAGAAATTAAGAAATTCTTAGAAATGAATTTTTAAAAACACCAGAGAATGCAGTAAAAGTAGTGTTGAGAGAAATATATAGCTACAAATGCTTGTATTGCAAAGACGTAAGATCACAAATCAGCAGCTTATCTTCCATCTTAAAAAACTAGAAAACTAGAAAAAGAAAAGATAACTGTGTCTAAACCAATCAGAGGTAAGGGAATAATAAAGATTAGAGCAGAGGTAAATGAATTCCATATTGTATTACAAGTACTAGCTAACACAGTTATGCAATAAATGAAATAAATGGCATCCATATTGGAAATAAATTGTATAGTGGTGATGGTTACACAGTCTTATAAATGTACCAAAGCCCACGGGTTTATCCACATCAATGGTGAGTGTACTGTATATGAATTATATGTAGATTTTATGAAAAGGAGTCAGACTTTTATAAAAATCTGTGTGTTTAAAAAAATACAAATCTATTAGCTTAACCATGTTTCCCTGAGTTGATTTCCTTGTGCCCTGTGAAACTATTTTATTGTTATATTATGACTCATCATTTTTTATTTTTATGTCTCTCTAGCTTATGGTGAAAGACATGAGGAGTTAATTACCTTAGGAAGCCCAGACTCCCACACTATTAGTGAGGGACAAAAATCTTCAGTAACTTCCAAAATAACAAGGAAAGGCAAAGAAAAGTCTTCTGAGAAAGAAAAGACAGCCAAAGAAAAACAAGCACCTCGCTTTGAGCCTCAGGTGGGTGTGGAATTTTTTTTTTTATTTGAGTTACTTAATGATTTTAGGTTCATTGGATTCTTATTTGCCTATCTCATCTGAGGACAAAAATGTGAAACATCCTTTCTCCCTGATTCCAGAAACCATCTAGATACCTTGAGGACATTCCTTGGACACCTTCCCCAAGGAAGCTTCCCCAAGCTCCCTTTTCTAGTTCAGTATCAAAAACCATCACTTTAGTATGTAGAACAGCCTTCATGGCACTTGGATTTCTAAGATAAATATGATTCAGTACCAACCCTAAAAGAAATCACAGTCTAATAATGGAGGAGACTGAAGGTAAACTGAGAATTATAATGTTGAATGTTGTATGTGCAGTCGTAGAAAGGATAGGTTCTAATACAGCCCCTTCCAGAAGGAACTGAGTTCTGAACCGAGTTAATAAGTAAAGACATGATGAGACGAAAACTCAATCTGGTTTTTTGAAGCATTGAAGTATGAGAGATAAGGCTGGAGGGGTCAGTAAGGGTCAGTAAAGGTCAGCTGGAAAAGGGCATTAAAGCTTCATTGGAAGGCTGGGACTTTCTTTACAGTCCAGAGGTTATGAGTCTAAACTCCTTCAGGGCCAGTTAGAAAATTCCAATGATTAGGAGTAAGGAAGAGGATGTGGATGGCAAACTTGAGGAGTGCAAGCACAGGCCTGAAGATTTTCAAGTTATCTAAAAACAGTGCACTCTAAACAAAATACTTAGGAGTACAAAATCTTCCCACCATTTATGCCTAGGTTAAGAAGGACTGTATCTTGAGGTACTTAAGAAACACATTAACATGATCAGATTTACATTTCAGATACCCTCGTGGCTTTTAAGGGTGTGGACTTAAAGGAGAAAAGACTGCAGAGGAAGAATTCAAGAAAATACTTCAGTAATCTAAGCAAAAGAGTGCAAAGTGTGTCAGGAACAGGAAAAAAGAAAGGAAAGATGGGACAGATCAAGAACTATCTAGAAAACAGAAAGTGGTGTGCAGTTATTAATCCAAAGTGGGTGTTAAAGAACAAGAAGGAATAAAGTATATCTCTCAGGTTTCCAGCAGGACTAGCTAAGTAAGATGTCAATACCATTAGGAAAATAGACAATAAAAGAAAATTAGCAAATAAGAAGAGATGATGACTTGTTGTTTCAGACTCCAGGAATGGTTCCTAAAGATTTCAAAGATTTTATTTCTTAGCTGAAGTCTACCCTGAAGTAGATAAGATTAACCCAATCCATAGATTCCTATAAGACCTCCCTTAGTACCTTCACAGTGCTCCCTTTCCTAATCAAATCTTGATCCCAGAAAAGTCTCTGATAAATTTATCTATTAAGAAATTTAAAAAATAATAAAAGCTAATGTACCCTGTGTTAAAAGGAGGAAATAAAATAATTTCCGATTGTGAAAGTCAGTTCTCACCAGAATATTAGGGAAATATTGTAGAAAACAAGGTCATTTTGGTAACACTGAAATCAAACTGCAGGTGGAAACTGTATTCAGTGGTTATATCAATCCACTCTTCCCAACTGCATTATTTATCAGTGATAATTGACATAGTCTCAACCTTATGTAAAGTTCTATGTAACCACATTAGTTTCAAGCCTCTGTTCCCAGCCTAAGGTCCATTCCATGCAGGTGATCCCATGAGACATTAAAATGTTGTTAATTTTCATAACGAATATATAGCAAGTATATACAGACCTGGAAATGATCAGCTATCCTGCTCTCATTTTTGTGAAGAGATGCTATGAGTGAACACAGTTACAATTTATAATTTAATGTGTACAGCTTTTAAGTAAAATTTGCATACATGAAATGCACTAATCACAGTTGTAACATTCAGTGAGTTTTGATCAATGTATTCACCATGTAATCCATGCCCCTATCAAGATATAAATTATAGATTATTTCCATAAGCTCGGGAATTATCTCAAACTTCTTTGCATTCCATTTTCTAATTCTCACACCTCATCTCTTGGTAACACCTGATCTTTCAGTCACCATAGATTAGTCTTGCCTAAATTGCTCTGGAATTTTATACAAATGACATACAAGATGATGTACCCTTTTGTGCTTAACTTCTTTATCAAAGTATAATATCTGTCTGTGGTGTATATCAGTAGTTTATTACTTTTTAATATTAAGCAGAACCCAATTATATGACTATATTACAATTTGTTTATCCATTCCTTGATTGATAGACATATATGTTGGCTTTTTGTGTGTATTACGAATAAGACTGCAATGAACATTTTTGTACAAGTCTTTTGTGAATATATGTTTTCATTTATCTCCAGTAAATACCTAATAGTGAAATTATGTATCATAAGGTAAAATATAGACCCTCTTGAAAGGAGGAAAGCATGCAACCCACAGGTTTTTATTTTATTTTATCAGATATCCACTGTTCACCCTCAACAAGAAGACCCAAATAAGCCCTACTGGATTTTGAGGTTGGTCACTGAACACAGTGAATCAGAATTATTTGAAGTGAAAAAGGATACAGAACGGGCAGATGAAATCCGAGCCATGAAACAGGCATGGGAGACAGCTGAGCCAGGAAGAGCAATCAAGGTCATCTGACTTCGAAAAGCTGTCATCTTTTACTTTTCTTCCTTAGGCATGCTCTGAAAAAAATAGTCATGCTGATAAAAACCATGTAGCCTGTCATTTAGTAATGGTATCTGAAATTTTATCAGACAGATATTGAATAACCACATTGTAAAATGTTACCCCCTGATTACCCAAAGGACTTGCAAAAACAAAGCACATTGTGGTACCAATTATAGGCCCACACTATGGGTTACCTCATTCTTTCACACAGCCCTGGCTATCTGCATGTCTGCTCTTAACACCCCCAAGTAAGAAAGCATTCAAATGTTTAATATGTGATTTACTACACTTTGCACAGCCTTAGATGGATTAAAAACCATGCGCTGCCCCCTTGTGGAATATACACACCTAGTCTCTGATCTATCTCCTGTAAAAGTGATTGCCACAGTGACACTTACCATGTAAGGGCTTGGTGTAACAATTCAGGGTTATTGGGGCAGATGAAAAAGATTCAGGAACCCCTGCATCTAAGATAGTACGCCCAGAAACGTATTCTTTTTAGGGCTGCTTCTTCATCTATTCTCAAAAATAACTGTCAAAATCATGGATGATTCAGAATTTGAGTTTATCTGATAATGAAGAAGAGCTGGCCTGCTTCATTTAGAATGCCCTATTTAATTCACATTTTCCTGTTTCGTTTTTGATTGAATACCATTAATATGTATTACCTGTACTGGTTGTTGCTTTTGAAGAGCTTTTAAAAAGCTGCTCATGTTTGTTCTTTAGGCTTCTCAGGCTCGTCTGCATTACCTTAGCGGGTTCATTAAGAAAACATCTGATGCTGAGAGTCCACCTATATCTGAAAGCCAAACTAAACCAAAGGAAGAAGGTCAGTGGATCCTGCCCCAGCTGCCTCAGAGCACAGTGCTGTGACTGACACTTCTTAAAAAATTATCAGTGGGTTGTGCTTGGTAAAAAGGAGACATTTCAGAACCTCATTCCTTGAGGATCATAAAAAGTTGCACAATTTCAGATAACTATATGAACAGTGCTTCAATTTTCAAATCACTTTCACACATTTTCCCATTTAAGTCCTACATCTCTCCCATCACACACACTGTGCAAGGAGATGTGATTTTCTCCACTTAACAAATGATAAAACCAGAAAGAATGATGCAACCTATTTAGAAAGTAGCAGTATAAAACTTGAAGGTAGGTTTATTACTATAAGTCTGGCACCTTTCTAATAATAATAATAATAAACAATAACAAAAAGAAGTCATACATCAACCCATTTAAGCATATATTATAATATTATTCCGATTTATCAATAAGCACACAGGCACCAGAGACCATCAGTAATATTCTAAGTTCAGAGCCAGAGACAGAATTGGCCTGCAGACAGGCCCTTCATAATACCAATGTCTTCTCACAGCCACTTGACCGATTGCATTATCGCCACACTGAGGTGTCCATGGAGGCAGAAGGCATTCACATCCCAAATCATGCTTTTCCATTTGTGTATATTCAGGAATGTAATTCAATAATTGTTATAAAAATAGTACCTATTAACTTTTCATATGAACAGTGTGAATAGCAAATACCATCCTAATTCTGTTATCCTGGGATAGGCAAAGCATTTTACATGTATTAGCTCACTTTAACCTATAGCAACTATGAGGTATGTATTACTTACTCTTGTCATCTTAGAGATAAAGAGACCAAAGCTCAGAGAGCTACCTTATCCTTCCTAAGTCATCCATCTCAAAAGTGATGAAGTTGGGATTTGAAATATTTCTAACTCCTCAAGTACTCACTCCTCTACTAGAGTCTAATGTAATGCTAGGAAAACAAATGTGAATAGGATTCAGTTCTTGTCCTTTAGGCTATAGATTTATTACTTTTTTAAATTTTGTTTTAATGTATGTGTATAAAATATTACACTGAATACATTAAAAATGACCAAAAGACTTTATTCCAGACTACTGAAGTAGGGGAGAAAGGTTGAATTTAACTGTAGATACAACAGGAACAAGTGGGGATTTAAAACCAACGGTACAAGTGAGGGAGTAGTTGGTAAATTACTAAGAGGAACTTGGTTAGACGTCAAGGGTCAGGAAAGAGGAACTTGATTAGGTATCAAGGGTGGAAGCATTCTGGATAAACTGACTTAGCAGGATTTTTTGCTAAAACTGGGGTCACCAGGCCAAGGACAAGGCCTACTTGAGAACAGGGCTCAGAGAGCCTGACCCTGTCATAGAACACACATACAATAAAAGCCACCAATTGTAACTGTACGGCTTGATTAATTTTTGCATGTGAATACTCAGTAGCCACTGTTTAGATCAAGATTAGACTTACCACATACTGAAAGTCCTGCTCATTTGTTTCCAAGTCATTTCCTCCCTCAAGGTAACAACTAGTTTGACCCCCATCACCATTAAATAATTTTGCCTATTCTTGAATTTCAATTTAGACTCAAATGTACCCTGTATGTCTCACTATTTAGTTATTTTATTTCTTACTGTGCCTGGAATAGTAAGCTACATTTTATAAGAAATTTGTCGATGTTATGTAAGTTCAACTTACTGGAATAAGTTTCCTTTTTACCTCTTTTTTTTCCCTCCTCAATCTCCTCAAGTCTTGCTCTAGGGATACATCAACTTTAATAATATTTTTAAGAAATCGACCTTTGACTACTGCATATCTGCCTTTTATTTCAACATTTCTTCATGCCCTTAAGTACTTTCCTATCACCACCTTTCATTCAATGCAAAACATAACATGAATTTGGTCACCCACAACTGATAAATAGGAAAACAATGTCTATATATAATGTGGAAATTGTGGTAGGTTTTACATAGTTTTTCCTAGGCTAGGGATCTGTAACACTGAATAGACTCAGAGTATCAAGAAAAAATTTCCTAGCTTTACGACGTCACAAGAAAGAGCTCTGTTCAGCTCTATTTTAAGACAATTTTAAATAAAGGTCTATCCATTATGAACCATTGTGAGCATAGGGCTAGTTGTACTTCCTGCAGGGCCCACCTTCACAGCAACCCCAATAATTCAAATATCCCATTTCCGTTTATGTTGTCTCAACTTCTAAAAGCCTCTATTATATGACATTTTAATACATGGAGGCAGTTTCCAGACACACTTTCTGCCTGGGTCAGTCTTCTAGGGTGACAGTTTTGCTAGTGCTCTGGTTAGAAGTTATAGAGCTTTTGAGTCATCTGCTCTAAATCTGTGCTCCCATCATCAAGCCCTGTTACTCTTTGCATGTGATTTCATGGAATGCAAGCTTTTTCAGTAATGCACATGTCTTGTTGTAGTAGAAACAGCTGCAAGTGGTGTAAAAGAGCCAAACTCAAAGAATTCTGCAGGCTCAGAGAACAAGGAGATGACACAAACAGGATCAGGGAGTGTGGCGTGGAAGAAGTGGCAATTGACCAAGAGCTTGAGGGATGTGGCAAAATCCACGAGTAGCGAAAGTGGAGGAGCATCTTCACCGGGGAAGGAAGAGCGCGAGCAGAGCACACGGAAGGAAAACATTAGTAAGTATTGCTGTCATTGGTAAGATAAACATGTATTTTCAAATAAAAATTGTGGAAAGGATTTTAACTTAAACATAAGTGACGGCTAGGGCTATAAAAGTAGAAAAGATATCTTTTCAATTTGTAGATTTTCATTTTACTTAACAGTTGGGAATTTGCTCAAGGACCTGATTACAAAATATTAACCAAAAGATAAAAGCTGGCAAAAGCCCCCCGACACACACAAATTTGCAAGTATATTTTTTTCTGTATATAGGCTTTCTGTGTCTACAAATGCTAAAAATAAAATGCCAACATTTACACATACACTTGTCATTAAACACAGATTTTTTTGTGTTATCTGTAGCATGCTACATGATAGATTTCCTTTTTACCTTTAATAACAAATTTTAAGAATGTAGTTTTTTAAATGTTGAAAATGAGCAATTTTCAGTGGTGCACAAGTCACCCTGACTTGATTCATTTCTATGTGGATTCATATCTGTTCACTAAACTGAACTAAATCCCTGATCAAAGGAAAATGCCTTTCCACACTCCTAGTTTCCATGAATTCCTAAGCAACTCCTCAACTCCTCCTGTCTTAAAGGGAACAAAATGTCCTGTTAATGCATTTGGAGAGAATAAATGAGGCTCTTCCTTCAGGTGTGAGCACTACCTAGACTGTGCTGGAACAGTCAGTCAGCTTCAGGTGATCATGGCCCATTTGTCTCTCACATCAAGCCACATCCTCCGGTTAAACCTGGATCAATAGTATAATCTTACTTTCTATTTTTCTACGTGTTTTGAACCCAGGCAGCAAAGAAGGAAGTCTTAATAAGAAGTATTCTCAGAAAAGCCAACAATGGTTCTTTTCTCAAAATTGCTAAACCATTCTGAGAATTTTAAAATTAAGAAGTGTTTAAAGCTAAAGTATGTCCTTAAGTGATTTCCATACTAAGAGGAAAATTCCAAAATTCAAAGGAATCTTTTACTATACTAACAGGAGATTCTGATATTTTTTAAGCAATATATTGAAAGTATATGCCCATTCAATAGGTAATAGCTCACATGATGGTAGCAGTAAAACTTATTAGAACACATTCCATTTAATATTAATATTTAATTTGTAGAGTAATCTTTCCATCTCTTATCTCACTTGAGATTACGTAAATTAGAGAAAGCATATATTGCTCTCTCCACTTCTAAAATGACAGGATTGGAAAAATGACTCACCCGAGAGCAGGAAACTGATGCAGTTTGGGTAGAACTTGGATTTAAACCCAGCTCTTTGGTCTCCATCTATTGTGATCTCTAACTGAACACAAACTTTTCCCCATCCTTAGTTAATTTTAACATCTATAAAATAGAAAAATGTAGCTAAACCAATGCAACTTAAATTCTGATATCAAATTGCTTACTTATGTGCTAACAAAGTAATCCTTTTTGAAATTTTATTTTTAATTAGCAAATAATTATATATATTTATGGGGTACAATGGGATGTTTTGATACATGTATAGGTTATGGAATGATCAAATCAAACTAATAAATGTATTCATTACCTAAAATACTTATTAATTCCTTGTGGTGAGATCATTTAATATCCACTCTGTTAGCTATTTTGAAACATCCAATACACTGTTAGCTGTGTTCACCAAGCTGTGCAATAGAACACCAGAACCTATTCCTGCTAGCTAACTGAAACTAACTGTACCCTTTGACAAACATTTTCCCTTTCCTTGTCCACTACACTATGACCCCCCAGCCTCTGGTAACCACCATCCTAATATCTGTATGTTCAACATTTTAGATTCCACATATAAATGAGACCATGCCGTATTTGTCTCTCTGAGGCTGGCTTTTTTACTTAGCATCTTGTCCTCCAGGTTTGTCCATAATGTTGCAAATGACAGAATTTTCTGTTTGTTAAAGACTAAATAGTATTCCATTGTGTCTACATACCACATTTTGAAAAATCCATTCATCTATTGATGGGTACTTTGGTCATTTCCCTATGTTGGCTGTTGTGAATAATGTAATGCACATACAAGTACAGACACCTCTTTCACATACTTGTATTAATTCCTTTGGATATATACCCACAAGCAGGATTGCTGGATCATGTGGTAATTCTACTTTTAGTTTTTCAAATAATCTCCATACTGGTTTTTCAAATGGCTTGTAATTATTCCCAGTACCACCAAAGGGTACCTGAGTTCCCTTTTATCCACACTCTCACCAATGCTTGTTATCTCTCATCTTTTTTATAACAGCCAATGTAACAGGTATGAGGTAGTATCTCATTGTGGTTTTAATGTGCATTTTTCTGATGACTG